AAAAAAGTGTTATTTATGTTAACATGTAATGGTTCTATCATTGTGATTTTTTAAATTAATTCATAAAACTTAATTTTTCTGTTTTAAAGTCTGATATGAACAATATCAATAGCTGTAACTCCCATAAACAAAAGCTCTTTGGGTTCCTCGATAATTTTAAAGACGATAAAGTGATAATGACACCAAAGTCTGCGAACCACTGCATTGTAGCCATTCCCACTACAGCTAGGATGACATCAGATTTGGGCAGAAAATACACAAGATGAAACTGGCAGATAGTGTGCCAAAAAGTATGGAAGCTATCAGACTATTTGTATCACGTAAAAATGACATAGGCATCAACTTGAAGGACCCCTTCCCCACCCACACCAAATGGAAAAATGGGAGCATCAAGAGAGAACAATGTTTGTAATTGATTAAAATACATCAAATACATAACCATCCATAAGTGTCTAAAGATACTTAAAAAATAACCACAACAATTTAAAAAAAAAAGCCTCATTGGTCACTTTTGGAGGTTGCTAAGGCACCAACTCTTTTTCTGAAAATTGATAAAGGATTTTTTTTTTTTAAAGCTTTTGTCCAGCTTTTCATGAAAAAATTATATTTCAGGGTAAATAAATAGTTGACATCAAGTACATCTTCGTAAAAGTTCAGCTAACAAAGAAGAAATATGGCTAGAAAACAAAACTTTGCAATTCCTAGTAAAGTAATAGAGCTAAGGATCAATATTCAATGGACACTAAAACTACTAAGTGAAAGACTGATAGGAAACTTAATAGTGGATCAGGTCGACAGCATCTAAACCTCTAATCAACCTTGTGTTTCGTGATGTGATAGAAGTACACAATACCACGTATGAAGGATTCTTACCAAAAGTAATCAATCGTCTAAGTCTAACTACTGATTTATAGGATATCTGTGGCATAGAGATAAAAAGACAATCAGAAGTAAATAACTGGCCAAATCCAGAATGTGAAAAGGGTACAGGATAAATGACCAGTT